ATAAGAAAAGGGAATAAAAATATAAGAGGACTCATTTCTAATTTTAAAAATAATGAAAAATAAGAACAAGAAATTGATTGATGTGGGGATGAGGCAGAATTAGCCATGGGTTGATGGTTACTGAGGGTGACAAGCACATGGAGTTCCTTATACTATTCTAGCTACTTTAGTATATTTGAAATTCTCCACAATAAGGCCGGGCGCGGTGGCTCAAGCCTGTAATCCCACCACTTTGGGAGGCCGAGGCGGGTGGATCACGAGGTCAAGAGATCGAGACCATCCTGGTCAACAAGGTGAAACCTCGTCTCTACTAAAAATACAAAAATGAGCTGGGCATGATGGTGCATGCCTGTAGTCCCAGCTACTCGGGAGGCTGAGGCCGGAGAATTGCTTGAACCCAGGAGGTGGAGGTTGCGGTGAGCCGAGATCGTGCCATTGCACTCCAGCCTGGGCAACAACAGCAAAACTCCGTCTCAAAAAACAAAAAAAAAAAAAAAGAAAGAAATTCTCCACAATAAAAAGCTTGTTTTCTTTTGTCTTTGTGAATAGCCACTGCACTCCAGCCTGGGCAACAGTGAGACCCCGTCTCATAAAAAATAAATAAATAAATAAATAAAAATAATAATAAAAAAGAAATAGTCTCATGCTGTCCCCCAGGATGGAATACAGTGGCGCCATTATAGCTCACTACAGCTTCTGACTCCTGGGCTCAAGGGATCCTCCCACCTCAGCCTCCCTAGTAGCTGGGACTATAGGTATGTGCCACCATGTAAGGCTAATTTTGTTGCTGTTGTTGAGATGGGATCTTGCTCTGTTGCCCAGGCTGCAGTGTAGTGGCGCCATAATAGCTTACGGCAGTCTCCAACCCTTGGCCTCAAATGAGCCTCCCTAAGTGCTGGGATTACAGGCGTGAGCTACCAGGCCTAGCCAAGTTTTAAGAGATCAATGCATATTCCTGGTACTCAGTGACCTCTTCATGTTATCCTTCCCAGTATGGGTTTCTAATCTGATCAGGTCTCCTAGCTCTCTCAGTTGAGAGAGCTAGCCAAGTTTTAAGAGATCAATGCATATTCCTGGTACTCAGTGACCTCTTCATGTTATCCTTCCCAGTATGGGTCTCTAATCTGATCAGGTCTCCTAGCTCTCTCAGTTGAGAGACAGGCAATCTAAAGTTGTTGCTCTGACAGGCTCTCTTCAGATGATTTCCATTTCCTTGGGCAAGAACTCAGAACAAGCTTGTCCAGGCTGCGTGTGACCCAGGACAGCTGTGAATGCAGCCCAACACAAATTTGTAAACTTTCTTAAAACATTATGAGATTTTTTTTTTTGCAATTTTTTTAAGCTCATCAGCTATGATTAGTGTTAATCTATTTTATGTGTGACCAAAAACATTTTTTCATCTTCCAGTGTGGCCCAGGGAACCCAAAAGATTGGACATCCCTGACTTACGATGTTTATTTTAAAAGAAACAATTGGCCAGGTGCAGTGACTCATGCCTGTAATCCCAGCACTTTGGGAGGCCAAGGTGGACGGATCACGAGGTCAGGAGTTCGAGACTAGCCTGGCCAATATGGTGAAACCCCGTCTCTACTAAAATACACAAAAATTAGCCAGGCATGGTAGTGGGCACCTACAGTCCCAGCTACTCAGGAAGCTGAGGCAGGAGAATTGCTTGAACAGGAGGCAGAGGTTTCAGTGAGCCGAGATAGAAATCATACCACTGCACTCCAGCCTGGAGAGACTCTGTCTCAAAAAAAAAAAAAAAAGAAAGAAACAATAAAGAAACAATTATACTCAGAGGGATAACCTGATGGAAAAAGAAAAAAAAAGAAACAATTAACAGTGTTAATTATGGACTGAGTACCACATCATTTATGAAACATCTCATAAAGATAAGAGCCATTAAGTAATTTAGAAAAACAGGGAGAACTCACTCAATCACCAGAATTATACCAATTCAATTTGCTTTCACCCCTAAAGTTAGGATTTACTTTTACATCTATACCAATATTGTCGGCATTTACCTAATGAGGGTAACCACCTAACATTTTAATTCTATAAATGTACAAAAAGCATTGCACTGGGAGCCATGAGACATAGTCTTAGCTTTGTCTCTCATTTATAAGCTTACTAACTCCTTAATCTAAGACATAAGATCCTAATGTAAAAATTTTTTTTTTTTTCTTGAGACGGAGTCTCGCACTGTTGCCCAGGCTGTAGTGCAGTGGTATGATCTCGGCTCACTGCAATCTCCACCTCCTGGATTCAAGCAATTCTCCTGCCTCAGCCTCCTGAGTAGCTGGGACTACAGGCATGCACCACCACGCCCAGCTAATTTTTTTGTATTTTTAGTAGAGACAGGGTTTCATCATGTTAGCTAGGATGGTCTTGACCTCGTGAACTCGTGATCCGCCCGCCTCAGCCTCCCAAAGTACTGGGATTACAGGCGTGAGCCACCTCACCCGGCCAGATCAGGTGTTCTTAACCTGGAGTCATAAACCTGGCACTGGGACCGATGCATAAGCTTTTGCAAGATTACGAAGACTCAGAAATTCCAAGACAGTCTTGCTCTATCACCCAGGCTGGAGTGCAGTGGCGTTATCTCGGCTCACTGCAACCTCTGCTTCCTGAGTTCCAGCGATTCTCTTGCCTCAGCCTCCCTTGTAGCTGGGATTATAAGCACAAGCCGCCATGCCTGGCTAATTTTTTGTATTTTAGTAGAGACGGGGTTTCACTATGTTACCCAGGCTGGTCTCAAACTCCTGAGCTCAGGCAATCCTCCTGCCTCCACCTCCCAAAGTGTTGGGATTACAGGTGTGAGTCACTGCACCCACCCTTTATTTTATTTATTTATTTATTTTTCTGAGATGGAGTCTCACTCTGTCGCCCAGGTGGCTGGAGTGCAGTGGCATGATCTCATCTCACTGCAACCTCTGTCTCCTGGGTTCTTTAAGCAATTCTACTGCCTCAGCCTCCTGAGTAGGTGTGATTACAGGCACCAGCCACCACGCACACCTAATTTTTGTGTTTTTAGTAGAGACGTGGTTTCACCATGTTGGCCAAGATGGTCTTGAACTCCTGACCTCAAGTGATCCACCCACCTCGGCCTCCTAAAGTGTTGGGATTACAGGCATGAGCCACCGCGCCCAGCCAAGTTGTGTCTACGTTTCTACATGCACTGTTCCGGAGAGAGGTTCTAGAGCTCTCAAAAGATTCTCAAAAAGAGCCAAAATTCACCTGCCCCACCCCCATGATTGAACCATTTTAATCAGGATAATTTTTACTTACAAAAACAAAAGTTGATGTCAAATAGTACAGTTGTGGCCGGGCGTGGTGGCTCACACCTGTAATCCAAGCACTTTGGAGGCCAAGGTGGGCGGATCACCTGAGGTTGGGAGTTCAAGACCAGCCTGACCTATATGGTGAAACCCTGTCTTTAAAAAAAAAAAAAAGTATGGTTGTATGGATCTAGTCAGGCTAGTATTTATTTTTTATTTTTTACTTTTCTTGAGACAGAGTATTATTTTCACCCAGGCTGGAATGCAGTGGCATGATCTCGGCTCACTGCAACCTCAGCCTCCCAGGTTGAAGCAATTCTCCTGTCTCAGCCTCCCAAGTAGCTGGGACTACAGGTGTGTGCCACCACACTTGGCTAATACTTGTATTTTTAGCAGAGAGGTGGTTTCGCCATGTTGGTGAGGCTGGTCTCAAACTCCTGACCTCAGGTGATTCGCCTGCCTCAGCCTCCCAAAGTGCTGGGATTACAGGCTTAGGCTTGAGCTACCATGCCTGGCCAAGCCAGGCTTTAAAATTCATTCTGTATTCTTTAAATTCTACATTAAATTTTACTATTAATGTTGAATTTAATAGTATGAAGCTAATTAAATTATTCAGCTTCATAGTTTGCTATAACAATGTGTTTTTACAAGACAAACTACAGTTCCACTTCTTAGAAGACTGTATGGTACAAAAACAATGTACAAGAGTTTGGGTCATAACAATTTACTTTTCTATTTCTCTAATTTTCTGTTTATATATTTTGAGACAGAGTCTTGCTCTGTCACTCAGGCTGGAGTGCAATGAGTGATTACAGCTTACTGCAGTCTCAACCTCCTGGGCTCAAGTGATCCTCCTGCCTCAGTTAATTTTTAATTTTTGTAGATTAGGGGTTGGGGAGGGGGTCCTTACCATGTTGACTAGGCTGGTCTTGAACCCCTGAGCTCAAACAATCCTCCTGCCTAGGGTTCCCAGTGTTGGCATTACAGGCATGAGACACAGTACCTGGCGAATTTCCCCGATTGAACCACTTTAGGGCGCATTTCAGGCTTATAGGTCTTTCCTCTGCTAGTTATAAAGCAAGATCCAGGGGGTCATTCTAGGTTTATCGAAAATCTCTCCTCCCTAAACAATGACGGGATAGAGGAAGAAAAAGCAGGCCCCTTAATTAGAGGCACATTTTTAATGCTGGCTTTAAATTCCCAGTCACGTGTTTTAAGCAAGATTTGAAATTCCTTCTGAAGATTTTCACTCCAGAGAGCGCTCTAAACCAAAATGGGAAACTGAGGCTAAGATTCCAAGTACCTTCAAACCGCAGATACAGTACAAGGACACGGAAGAGCGGAGACCGCGGACAATGAAAGCCGGAATAAAAGTTGGAGGGGAGAAGGCAGAACGAGCAGGCTGCCTTGGGAGACGGACTCAGGGAAGCTAGCAGGGCTTGAAGAGCAGCTTCCCGAGTCCGTGGGAGTTAAGCCGCCGTTCAGCCCCCCGACCCTCCCTCAGCTCGAGTCTTCCCGCCCCTGCTAGTTAGCCCGAGGACCCCAGCGCCGCCCAGGCCCGCCTTCCCCACAGCCCCCGCCACTTCTCAGAGAAAGGCTGTGATCGGGGCAAAGATATAGTCCAATGGCTCATAGGTCCCCAATGGGCAAAGTTGCCCTAAAACCCGGGGGAGTGGCCTCGGCCTCCGCCCCCCGGCCCGACCCGGCCGTGCCAGGCTTTACCTTGAGTGCCAGGTGATGGACGCGGCCCAGGCCAGGCTCGGCCAGCAACTGCAGCAACCCCAACATCGGGAGCAGCCGGAGGCCCGCGGCCAGCCGAGGACGGCGGGAGCCGGAGGAGCCGACGGGCGCCAGAGCAGCCATGTTTGTTCCAACATCACCAGCCTCTTCCTCTCCCGCCCACTTCCGGGGTTAAAGGGCGCAGCCGCCGGAAAAGCCTGGGGAGTGGGGCGCGGCGGCTGGTTCGGCTTACCCTGTGGTGGTTTTTCTGGATAGTGAGACCTGGGAAGTCGCCGAGGGGCCTGTGCTGGCCACCTCGGGGCCCTTCGATTGGCCCCTGCTGTGCAAACTTTCGGTTTAGCCCGAAGACATGAAGTTCCCCTTTCTTGGCGGTTGCCATAACAACGGTGGCCGAGCTGGACCAGCCCGGGCCTCACCTCCGCCTCGCAGAGCTTTGGAAACGCCCTTGGGCTCCGGGGACCCCTGACCTCAGGATCAGGGGATACGCTGTGTCAGCCGCACGGTGTCCGGCCACTGACTAACTGATTTCACCGAGCATTGACTCGGAGGAAAATAATCAGAAAATTCCCGGCTCGTCGTAGGGGTCCTTTGGTTTTTTCCAGGCTCTTCACACTTAAGTATCAGGCGAAATGTTTGCAGTAATAATGATTTATTGAGCCCTTATGAGGAAATTCGTTAGGCCTTTTGTTGCATTTAATTCTTGGAACAATTTGGTGAGCTAGGAGGTAGGTATTATCATTATCCCTACTTTACAGGTAAGCAAACTGAGGCTCTGAGAAGTCAGTCATTTGCTCCAGGTTAAGCTGGAGTCACTCGGAAGCTCTTAACTCCTGTGTTCTGTTCCCTCATGCTGTTTCATCCAAGCCTAGAGTCTGGGCCTTAACATTTTAATCTTAATTCTGTATGGAAACTTTCTTTGCTTCTTTTACAATCTATAGGAACTTCTTTAATGGACGGATTCAGTAGTGAGCCCCCTCCTACTCACCATTCTTTATCAAGGAGTTATAGAAGAACACGCTTATTAAAATTGCTGGTAGTCTAGCCAGGTTTATTTCGTTTTTAGATTCTTGTTTAGCTTGCCAGGCAAGCAATGCATGCTTTTTTTGTGTAATCACTTGAAGGAAGGGAAAATAAAAGCCACGAGGAATCCCACTACCAAGTAACTGCCAGAGGGCCTTAAAGTTTTTAACTGAAACTAGGAACCGAAACGAACGATATATTTTAATGGTGCTAAGGTTCTATACACTCCGGGTGAAATAATGAATCGGGAAAGTACAGAATGGTGGAGGATGGAGAGGAGACAAGGGAGGGTCCTTTATTTTTTTCAGTTGTGTTGAATCTTAGTGAAAGGCATGAATCTGTGGATTCTTCTCTTGTTTTTCGTTTTTGTTTTGTTTTGTTTTGTTTTCAGAGTAAGTCTTGTTCTGTTGCCCAGGCTGGAGTGTAGTGGGTATCTTGGCTCACTGCAACCTCTGCCTGCTGGATTCAAGCAATTCTCCTGTCTCAGCCTCCGGAGTAGCTGGGATTCAGGCACTGGCCACCACGCCCGACTAATTTGAATTTTTCCCTTGATTCAAAAACCAATACAAGTTCTGTCACACTCTCTGCAAGACAAAAGTAAGGCACCACGATGGAGCCAGGAAGATTGTAGTTTATCGTAAAATACCTGTGATCTTCAAGAGAAGGGTAATGATTACTTGGTGGAGAGTATCCCCTTTCTTCCCCAACCTCTGATCTTTGGCTATATGTTACAAATATGGACTCTTAAATGTTTGAACAGAATTTCCATCTGATTCTACTACCTCCCTTTTACAGATAAACTGAGAATAAGAAACTAATTATTGTTTTGTGAATACGCACAGGAAGATAATAGATTTATTTACTAAGTAATTAAATATGCTAAGTATTCTGTTAGTATTTTATATGTACATTAACTCAGTTAACATCACAAAAATCTTATTAGGTATATTTTTATTCCCTTTTTTTTCTTTTTCCAGATGAAGCTTAGTTAGGTTATGTAATTTATTCAAGGATGGTCTGCTTATTTGCAAATGACCTACCTGGAACCTTCATCCAGACCCTGCCCAGCTTATAATCTCTGTTCTGAATTGTTGTAAGGAAAAAACATTTGCATATTAGGCTGGAAGGGTCCTTAGAAAATCAACACACCCATCCAACTTATTTAACAGATGTGAAAACAAATCCAGGAAACGTAAATAACTTACTCAAGATCACACAACTGATTGATTGGGTAATGTTCAGCAAGCACCTTTAAAACCAGGACTGGAACCTCAGCTGCATCAGAGTTGGATCTGTACTTCTTGAACTTTACCACACATGGTTAATTTTTACCATTTAAATTTTCTAAAGAGATAAAACCTAGAGACTGAGTAACCAATATGTTATCTAATGAAATGCTGGAGAAACTTTTAGAAAGCATTTTATTTATTTATTTATTTAGGGATGGAATTTCGCTCTCGTTACCCAGGCTGGAGTGCAATGGCGCGATCTCGGCTCACCGCAACCTCCGCCTCCTGGGTTCAGGCAATTCTCCTGCCTCAGCTTCCTGAGTAGCTGGGATTACAGGCACGCACCACCATGCCCAGCTAATTTTTTGTAGTTTTAGTAGAGACGGGGTTTCACCGTGTTGACCAGGATGGTCTCGATCTCTTGACCTCGTGATCCACCCGCCTCAGCCTCCCAAAGTGCTGGGATTACAGGCTTGAGCCACCGCGCCCGGCTGAAAACAGTTTTATAAGAGCTTAAAACTGGGTTCTTAAGATTCCTTACTTTTTTATATTTGGGTATTATGATGTGACCTACATAGGGTCATACCAGTGCTATATGCCCAGGAGTTGAAGAGAAATATCTTCTCTCACATATTTGAAAGCTGTATTGTGCCAGCCGTTATTTTGGAATTGAAAGGAATAAGAATGAGAGAAAACTGACTACAAATACTATGGAGGATTTTCTCTACAGTTGCTTCTTAAATTCTGAGAAACTGCTACCTTGACAATTATATTTGGCATGTGATTTCATGGTTTCAAGAAAAGATTATTTGCATAATCATGATGCTGTAACTGGGAACAGACATGTTGAGTAACAGAACAAGTTATGCCTGCTTCTCCTGGCAACATTTTCAAAGGGATGTTAAACTTTAAGGTATGGACTGAAAAAGCCTGCAGGGGCTAGAAAGATTGATCTCCTAAGTTTGGCTTTTAGTGTTACTCTCTTAGTCAAGTACATTTTATTTTTCTTTTTTTTTTTTGAGACAGAGTTTCGCTCTTGTTACCCAGGCTGGAGTGCAATGGCACGATCTCGGCTCACCGCAACCTCCGCCTCCTGGGTTCAGGCAATTCTCCTGCCTCAACCTCCTGAGTAGCTGGGATTACAGGCACGCGCCACCATGCCCAGCTAATTTTTTGTATTTTTAGTAGAGACAGGGTTTCACCATGTTGACTAGGGTGGTCTCGATCTCGTGACCTTGTGATCCGCCCGCCTTGGCCTCCCAAAGTGCTGGGATTACAGGTTTCAGCCACCGTGCCCGGCTATTTTTCTATTTTATCTCTCTCTCTTATTTTTCTGAGACCGAGACACTCTGTTGCCCAGGCTGGAATGCAGTGGTGTGATACCTGTTCACTGCAGTCTTCACCTCCCAGGTTCAAGGGATACTCATGCCTCAGCTTCCTGAGTAGCTGGGACCACAGGTGTGTGCCACTATGCGCAGCTGATTTTCATATTTTTGCTAGAGACAGGGTTTCACTATGTTGGCCAGGCTGGTCTTCAACTCCTGGCTTCGAGTGATCTGCTCACCTCAGCTTCTCAAAGTGCTAGGATTACAGGTGGAAACCACCCTGCCCAGCCTATTTTCTCTAACTTTTCAGGATCAACTAAAGGTTACTACTAGCATGCGTAGAGTTGAATCTAGTGCTATTAATATATATATTTTTCCCCTCAGCCTCCTGAGTAGCTGGGATTACAGGCGCTTGCCACCATACCTGACTAATATTTTGCATTTTCACTAGAGACAGGGTTTCACCATGTTGGTCAAGCTGGTCTGGAACTCCTGACCTTGTGATCCACCTGCCTTGGCCTCCCAAAGTGCTGGGATTACAGGTGTGAGCCACCACACCTGGACTTTTTTTTTTTTTTTTTTTTTTTTTAAATAGGATCTTGCTCTGTCACCCAAACTGGATAAAAGTGTCATGGCGGCCGGGCGCGGTGGCTCAAGCCTGTAATACCAGCACTTTGGGAGGCCGAGGCGGGTGGATCACGAGGTCAAGAGATCGAGACCATCCTGGTCAACATGGTGAAACCCCGTCTCTACTAAAAATACAAAAAAAAAAATTAGCTGGGATTACAGGCACGCACCACCATGCCCAGCTAATTTTTTTTTTTGTATTTTT